GAGAATACCGCAATTTTTAATATTTTTCAAAATAAAACATCACTCAGACTCTGATCGTCGATAAATTATATATATACTTTTTTCTGTGCGGCCCGGTAGCGGTCCGCGGCCCGGTGGTTGGGAACCGCTGTGTTATTGCACAGCGAGAGAGAAGAATATTGCATGATTGACAATAGGTAATAATATGTCCAAGGAGGGGGGAGCTGACCTTTGCCCCTCTTCACCTCCTCCTTCCCCCAAGTGAGGAGTTGTACAGCTTGGGGAGCAAAGGAGTTCAGCCGGCTTTTGGTCCTGCATTTGGGGAGGAGCAACCTCCCACTGATCAGACTCCTCTGATTGGTGAAGAAAGTGTGCAGTTTAATGTTCCTGTTCAGTTTACGGACAGCAACCTTCCTTTTATCCTGTTGTTTTCTGGACTTTGAACGGGTTCTGTTTGGATGTTCTCCCATCAGGGAATGGACTGGGACGCCCTCCTGGCAAAGAAGATGAAGCCACCCTTCCTGCCGGCGATCAAAGCGCCGCAGGACGTCAGCAACTTCGACGAGGAGTTCACTCGTCTGAAGCCGGTTCTGACGCTGCCTCGGACGCCATGCGTCCTCACAGCGGATCAGCAGGACGTCTTCAACGACTTTGACTTCTCCCTGATCAGCTGACCAGTTTGCTGATGGTTTTTAAGCTCTCTGAAGGTTTTCTTTTTTTTTTTACACTGGAACGCTGCACTTTGCTGTCTAACCTGTAAATATCCCTGAAGGCCAAAATCTCTGAATGTATCTGATAGTTTTAAATTATTCTGCTGAAATGTAGATGTGAGGAAGATGATGTATGAAACCCACCAGCCTGCGTTTAAAGTGACAATATATAAATAAAAGCTGGACTTTAACTTCTCATCAGTGACGTCTTTATTTCTTTGTTCAGAGGTATAAAAAAAAACACTCCAGTATTGCATAATAGTCAGAAATGCACAACATATTTACTCTTTGTAAATAAGACCATTAGTATAGAGAGATATATAAATAAAGGATTAATAATTGTACAAACAGCAGCTCTGTTAACTCCAACATGACAAATGCTGCACATTTATTGCTCTCATCAGGGACCTATTGCAGGAGGAAAAGTTAGAATGTGGAAAAATCCTTTTTATTGCACCTTTAAATCGTCATCAGAAATCTAAACAGCGTCTCTGGTTAAAAACGGGTAGAAAGACCTGAACAGCACTTGGGAATGTAAGAACGCTTCTGGGATAAATCCAGACCCGGTGGACTAAAAACACCATCAAACATGCAGCTTGAAAACGGATCAACCAGGAAGTCGGACATGCAGCTAAAACGAGTCGTTCTCTGACAGGAAGTGCATCAGTCAGCTTCCTGTTGGGATTAAAACAGTCTGATTATAGGAAAAACGGAACCATTTAAACGTCTAAATTTACCTTTTTAATGAGGAAACGCCAAAAAAAAAAACAAAAAAACAACTTGGATAAAGATTTAAATCTGTTTCATACGGAAGAGGATTAGGGCCACTGGAAAAAAAAAAGTTAACTGATTTTTAAATTTTATTTCAGTTTAGTCTGACTTTAATCTCAGAATTCTGACTATTTTCTGACTTTTGTTCTCAGAATTCTG